TTTGACCATACTGAAAAATGAGACTATCAAGCCTCCTATGGCCCGCGGGTATGCGCTAGGTGCGCAACCCGCCCCCTTGAGCCATAACATGAATGTAAAGCCAAATTCCCTCGACCGATTTTACTTAACTGAACATTACATTCTAAATAGAAGCTACAGGAACAAGATTGCTCATGACTTGCTGAATAATATTAAACTTAACTCGGTCATTATCTTACTTAAGTCTAAGCGAACATAGACACGGATTTAATATGAATTTCTCGAATGAAATCTGAACAAGTAACCTTAAATCGACCTTAGCATCATGAATATAACCTGGAGGAAGAATTACCTCTCGGATTACTCGAATGAACTCAGAAAATAGGCGTGCCTATGGCCTTGTGCTCGCCGTGCGATGATACTTGGCTTTGCCGTGGATTGATGGAGAATTATGGAACTTTGGTTTGCTGAATATAAGCTGCTGAAAAGGACCAGTATATATGCTGAAAGGGTGCTCGTCTTAAGGGGAAAAAGTGAGGGAAAATTTGTCTAAGTCATGCCTTATATACTTGGTCGTATGGTGGGAGAGATGATGGTGTGATGGCGTGGTCACCCTCTTCTTCTCACACTTGTGTGCATTTCATGAAATGTTTGATGACTAAGCCTCTCCTATAATTGACAATTGCTTAGTTTTGATTGGTGGAAAATCTTTTCCTTAAGCATAAGGAAAACTCACGGCTATAGTTAAATGTTTGGAAGAATTTTCATTATCCTCACGGCAATTAGGGCTTGCAACAACTAATTGTGATTAATTAACATTAACCACTCTTAGTTTATGTTTAATTATTTAATTAAACACAATACCTAATTACCAAAATTATTTCGAACGTAAACGATACGCCGAAAATAAATTTCGGTCATCCGACTGAAAGGAACTAATTCCGAAAATAATAAACAATAACATTATTACATCGGAATTGAAACGTAATTTATACCGATAAAATATCGGGATATTACAATCCCTCCACCAAATCTGTGAAATCCTTTTAGGAATTACCTGTCACTTCTCGGCTAGATACCTAGGGATTCCCCTAGGAATTGAAAAGAAGATCAAACCTTTCAGTTCATCCAGGAAAATGTTTTTAAAAAGGTTTCTTGTTGGAAAAACAAATATCTTTCACTTGCAGATATAGCAGTGTTGCTGAAACCAGTCTTTTCTGCCTTACCTATTTACGCTATGTCATGCTTCTTGCTGTCAAAGACTCTATGCCAAAATATTTCACAGATCTTTGCATGCTTCTGGTGGAAAGAAATAGGTGATCATAGGAAAGACATTCATTGAAAATCTTGGAACTTTCTAACATTGCCATAGGACAAGGGAGGATTGGGTTTTAAAGACATTCTTTTTTTCAACAATGCTCTCATTGTCAAGAAATTATCGAAGATTATGACAAGGCGTAACCTCATGATTAGTAAAGTGCTGAAAGCAAAGTACTTCACAAAGGAAAGCCTTTTCACAGTCAAGAAAAAGAAGAATGACTCTAGTATATAGAACATCTGGTTGGAAGTCAGAGATACCTTTAAAGGGGGTGCAAGGTATGAAATCAAGGATGGCAAAACAATGAAGATCTGGGAATACCCTTGGATTTCAAACTTTCCTAATTTCAAACCTACAACTGGAGCTGCTCACCTCATTTGGGTTAAGGACCTGCTAGACCATACAGGAAGGACTTGAAATATTCAGCGGCTGTAAGACACTTTTAATGAAAAGACATGAAGGCAATCCTCTGTATAAAAGGACTTGACCCTCAAAAGCTGACATATTAATATGGGATAGTGGAACAAATTGAGCTTTTTCTGTGACTTCATCTTATGCAAAGTTGGTGGCAGAAAATGGAAAATCCTCGATTTGCAGAGTGCATCAAAGGAAGTCTTCAAGAAGTGCAACCAGAAAAATAAGTTGGAGACTAAAAGTGAAAGAGAAAATAAAGCACTTCCTCTGGAATTACCTTACAAACTCTATACATGTCAACCGCAACCTGGTGAAAAGTGGACCTGATATTGACAACATCTACAAAAGTTGTTGTGAGGGGTCAGAAACTCTAGAGCATCTGTTCTTTTCTTTCCCTAGAGCCAAGAACATATGGATATTGTCACCAGTCTCATGTGATGTTTTAGCTAGAGAGACTGATAGCTTCAAAGTTTGGTGGTCAAGCATCTATGACATCAATAAAACAACAACCTCTGAAGCAAGTATCCAGTTTTCCACATATATTCTCTGGTGGTTGTGGAAAGTGAAAAATATGTAGATGTCAAAAAAGACTTGGAGGTATGACAAAGGCAGTGGTTGACATAGCTGTGAGACATTGGCTCGAGTTTGGGAATATTTGGACTTGTTGCTTTTGTTTTGTTCTGGCTTTTGTTCTTGTTTTTGTTGGTTTTATTGTTTTACTTTGTTGTAGCTTAGGAATTCAACTAGGCCTTTTTGTGCAGTGGTTGAGATACTTTTTGGGGTGCCTATTGCAGTTGCCTGTAGTGGATCTAAGAGTTTGAAGTCAAGTAACTTGTCTCAATGCGGTTGTCATTGCCAATAGTTTACATCCAAACTCTTACTTTTATTTTGTTGTTTGTTATGTGCACTTGTGTGTTCTTTATGTCTTTCTCTTGGAAGGAGGCTAAGGCAAGTTAATCATCGGTTTGTATAGATTCTTTTAATATCTTCTATCATTTTAGGAAAAAAAAAAATCACCTATTCAATCCATGCAATCATTGGATGGTAGTTGTTAGTGGGATTTCAATATTTATATTAAAATAACATTTAAAATAAAATAATTAAAGTTGATTTAGACTATGTTTGGTAGACAAATAAGCTAACTTTATTGCTTATTTAGTGTGCTTATAAGCTTTCTGTATTCAAATAAGCCCCGCTTGGTAGGACGAGTTTTTTAAAAAGCTCGAGCTTATCTCATAAGCTTATTTGGGTAGTTTTTCAAATAAGCTCGTTGAAATTTTTACTTCAGCAAATTTAACCGAATGCTTTTATCATATAAGCTAGTTTTTCAGCTATAAGACTATGTTTGGTAAAACTAGTTGATAAGCTAGCTTATAGCTGATTTGTAATTTTCGAGCTTATAGCTTATAGCTGAAAAACTAGCTTATATAATAAAAGTGTTTGGTAAAACTAACTAATAAGCTAGATTAAATAAAAATATCAACTACTTATTTGAAAAACTACCTAAACAAGTTATGAGATAAGCTCGAACTTTTTGAAAAAAATCATCTTATCAAACGAGACTTATTTGAATACATGAAACTCATAAACTAACCAAATAAATTATAAGCTAGCTTATTTGACCACCAAACATAGCCATAAGCTATAAGTTCGAAAATTATTGATAATCTACAAACTAACTTATCAGCTATCAACTAGCTTATAAACTAATTTTACCGAACATTGCCTTAATGTAAAAATAAGAGATAAAAAATGTGAAATAATAGTTAAAATTATGTAAATTGATTAATAGTGAATTAAAATTGATGTGATGTACATAAATTATTGATTTATATTATTTAATTATATAAATAATATTAAAAATAGTGAGATTGTGATAAAACTAAATCAGATTTTGAGTATGAAGTGAATGTGTATAAAATTATTTTGTAAACAAATATGCTCTAAAGATTGCTCCTATATTGAGAACATTGCTCCAATATGGACGACATTCTTGACCTATTGATGCCGAAGCAAATGTCTGAATACAGATGTTCACTACTCACAATGCCAACCTTCCAAAGTGAAATGAGAAAATAAGAAACATAAAGTAGAAATTATTATTAATCTTCATAAAAGGCATGCTCATGCTCTACAAATATACACACACAAACCACTGCATCATATGCTGGCAGAAGTTCACACCATCTCGCCCAACATGGTGAACACATTTGTATAAACAGTGAAATTGATATCGAAATTACGCAGCTGAAATTCACTCGAACAAGTTACATAGGGTTACAGAAATCAAAACTGACAGGCATCTATCAAACAGGCATGCGGACTCGAGCAGGTTGTATAGCTACTCATCTTGAACCTCCTTCTGACAAATCGGGCATTGCTGTATAAATACATAAATTATATTATTTAAAGAAAAAATAAAAAAGCGAACGGCAAACATTTATCACTACACCAGTATGAAGAGTATGTCATCTACATTTTCCAATCCTAAAGCATGATACTCCTGCATTGATGTTTGGAACTTATTTTCAATCAAGGGAAAGGTAAAATAAAACTTAGCCTCGATTTCAGTATAAGTAGTTTTTATAGAAAATAGACGGAGGAGTTGAATATTTATCAAAACATACTCACTAGAGAGTGCAATATTTTGTATAGAGTAAGAAATGGTTCTCTAGGCATTTGACTTTAAAAGACAACTTTATTCCTCTCAGATTAGCTTACATACGGGTGGATAGTTTTGTAATCACTCAAAGCCGGGCTTACTTTATTTTGTTGCAACCAAGGAGTGATACACTGCGAATGATACTGGTGCGTGCAAGGTAGAGTAGTCAACTTAGCTCCATTTTTGTATTCGGAGCAGCATATGACGCACCTAAATTTTGCAAATATTAGCAAGTACATATTCTCGAACAAGTTCTGTACTTTCAAGTCAGAGTGTTCAAGATCGTAACTTTATGCGAGACCAAGAAAGCTAATGGCTAAACAAACAGGTGTATAGGCATACATTAACAAACGCAAAGAAATAATGTCTGAATTTAATAATAATTTTCAGAATAAAGAAAGAAAAAGTGCTTACTTTGTGCACTGTTTAACAAATGGACAGAGCATACAAATCCAAGGAGAAGAATATGCATAGTTACTCAAAATTTTATTTACAACTTTCGTATCGGACCGAAAGAGAGAAATGCTTATTAGTAAAATGCCAACCTCAAGAGAAAGCTCGCAACTCCGTTAAATTAGATCAACCTCGAGGATTATTAATTAACCAACCATATCAATATGTGAAACAATTTAGTCACGCATGCGTTAATATTTTCTATTGCACTTCCTATATTTCACATTGTCTGAAATAAACAAACATGTACTAGCACATATCACTTTAAAACATCTCTAAACACCCAGATTTTAGGTTACAAAAACATACTCTTCTTTTTCTTTCTTTTTCTTTGAGAAGAAACCAACTTTGTATTTGAATGTCGGTAGCCGAGAAATGATATCTGCCGAAAGCCCTCTGCTCTCTATGCCAACAGATTCTCCAAGTGATTGCAGTTCCTAAAGTTTTGTTAAAAACATCCCTATGCTGTGATTCTTCAAATTGGAAATGAAAAAAATCAAAAGTACCAGAAAGTATATCAATAAATGAATTATACAAGTCACAGGACCCAACCTCATAGGTCATTGTATCAGGATCAAACTCGTCTTGCCTTATGTTTCGACTCTCACTCTGCATGGTTAAAACATAGAAAAAGTAAGTGATAGAACATAACATCGTAAGCTCATGAAGTAATAACCAAGATAAAAAGAAGAGCAGACTGTACCTGGTTTGGCAATTCTCTAACAGTTGATCCTGTGGATCAATAGACATCATAATATTCCCATTATGAGGACATAAAAAAGCAACATAAAGAGGATCAACTTGATGTCAACTTTCAGGTAGCAATACATAACTATTACAAAAACTAGCCTTATGGTTTGGCCCAATTCCTGAAAATTCAATTATGTTTTAATAACGAAAAATCTTTAATGTATAAAATATAGATGATCAAAAAGGCCCACCACGAGGTTGTACACTCTAACAAGACATAAACATCAGGGTTGCTTTTGTACTTGTGACAGATAAGCTTTTGAAGGCCCATCATAGTCATATTTTCAAGAAAAAAATTATGGTAATAAGCATTTCTTACATGATTTTTTGTTATCTTGGAACTTTTTTATGAAAGGAGATCACATGTTAAGAGATGGGACGTATTACCAACAGCACTGGCACCAAGTTCCTGAACATCGAAATTATAAAAGTCATCCCCCAGCTCCAAGGCCCTTGCTAAGTCTTCATCGTGAGCCAATTGGTGCTCGGCACTTGTCCCACGTGATGATGACTCATTCTCGTGCAACGAAAGTGAACTGGTGTTGCTTGTTTCACCATAGCTTGAAGCCATGCCTCTGTTCTGTTTATTGACCTGAATATACTGAAACGCGCTTTCCTGTTTTTTTTTTTTTTTTCGAAATCAACATTAATAAGGTTCTTAGAAACAAATCGAAGTACGGGGTTGGGTGTCTTTTAAAAGTGACATTATTTCAACGGAAAATAATGCAGTTGAGAATTTGAAGTTGGTGGTGTCTCCAATGATGAAATTCAATTCAAATAACAAATAAGTTCTGGTCGAGGAGTCGAAAAGGTCATATCGCAAGTAAAAATCAAAATCAAACTAGAACTATAACAAAAATTTAATTGTTCTTCTAAAATTTTAATTGTAGCATTACCACATGGACAAAACATTTAGAAACATCCAACTGAAAGTATTCCTCATTTGATTTCTTTATCTGTTTTTTTCTTTTTGTGCAATTTCAGTATACCTGCATTAGAAGAACTTCTTCAATGTTAAGGTCACCAAATTCTGGACAAATATCCTTAACATGTTCCGCAATTTCATCCGGCGTCATTCTGGTCAAATAATGGTTATCGTCATTCATAATTCCGGACATCATCCAACTACAGCTTTTCCGATGGATTCTTTATGCATCCGAAATTATCCTCTCTGTGAACACAAGTACAAAAAAGAACGATAAACCATTTCTGAATCAGTGGCAACAACTAAAGATTATCCTATAACTCATAAAAAAACAGTCTCCAAAGGAGCTGATCAGGGGTTTTACAATGTATATTAAATTGAAGGAAAATAAAAAATGAGATTGAAGTCTGAAAAAAATCCCGTTAATTTTAGTGACAGTATGAAAAACCGACCCAAAACAGAGGAACACTTGAATCAATACATGAACGGAGGTCATTATATAAAGCCCAAAATCATTTGAATTACTTACAGTAATAAGGTTTAACACACAGAAAATCACATGAACATCATATGGTAATACAATCAAACAACTCTATTAAAATACTAAAATCCTACACAAGTGCAGATTCAAATTGAGACAGAGAATAAGAATTAAGAAAGAAAAAAAAAAATACTTCTGTAAATAAGAGGCACTGATATTCTTCATATTTATCCAAATAAAACTCAATTAAAATGATTACCCTAACCTATAAACACTAACAATAGTCCTCTTTTTTTTCCCCACAAATGAGGGAAGGTCATCACTTGACCAAAGCAGTAAGCATAACACTCTTAACTACAGTGAAATCTCTCATGCCACTCGATTAAGAGCTACTCGAAGACTAAATTAAAAAAGAAAAAAACTAAGCGAGGGTGGATCACAAGCCAAGAGGATTGATTTTGTCTAAACAATGGCTAACATATTGAAGATGAAACCAACATAATACACGGAATTGCACAGGAAAATACAGTGAATCGGGAAATTGACCTTTGAATTTGCATGAAATTGGAGAAAATGGCTTGGTGATTTTTTACCTCCCACTTGGAAACTTCACAGAGTCGGCGAGCGTGCTGTGTTAGGAAGTAGCAGAAGAGTGAGGCGATAAAGAAGAAAGGAGTAAAGTAAAGACAAACTATTAATATAATACTATAAGTGCCCGTTTGGTTGCAAAAAAATATTGGGCTTGATAGTATCAATAATGCTAGGGAGACCTTATCTAACGGTTTCTATCTC